GAGGGCCGCGCTGACCGCCCGGCCCGTCCCAGACCCTGGTGGCCCTGCGGAGGGTGCAGGCCCTGCAGCGGCGCGGGCCCAGCGAGGCTTCCAGAGCTTCCCAGAAGCCCCCAGAGGCGGCGGCGGAAGACCAGAAGGGGCCAGAAGGGGGCGCGTACACCGACCACGACCGAAAGATCCTGCAGCTGTGCGGTGAGGGCTGGCCTGGGCAGGTCCTGAGGGCGGAGCCTGGAGGGGTGTGGCCTGCGGTGTGGGCGGGGCCAGGGGATGGGGCGCGGCCGGGGTTGAACTCGGGCGGATGTCTGGGGGCGGGGCCTTCGGGTGGAGCCGGCGGAGGGGCCGAGGCGAGGGCGGAGCCTTGGGGACCCGGCCACTGAGACGGGGCAGGGTCCTCCTTCTGACCCGCGTCTTCACCTTGCAGGAGAACTCTACGACCTGGATGCCTCTTCCCTGCAGCTCAAAGTCCTCCAATATGTGAGTCCCTGTGCCCCTCCCTCCTGTCTCCCTTCAGGGACCACTGTCCTCCATCGCAGTTCAGAATCCGACATCCCGCCCTCTCCTCTTCTCCACCTGAAGAGCCTCGGAGAGAGGCGTGAGTGGGGAGTGGGGTGGCCCTAGATCCCCAGTCAGCCTCTCACTGTGTCTGTCCCTCCCTCTTAGCTGCAGCAGGAGACCCAGGCATCCCACTGCTGCCTCCTGCTGGTGTCCGAGGACAATCTCCAGCTCTCCTGTAAGGTGAGGGCTCTAGTCCACTGTGGGGCCGGGCGAGGAAGAAAACCTTGCCTGGCCTTTAACTGCCTCCCCTGACCCCTCCGTTCTTCAGGTTATCGGAGATAAAGTGCTGGGGGAAGAGATCAGCTTTCCGGTGAGTTCTGCGTCTGTCCCCTGGGTTGGAGTCTGCAGGGGCTGATAAGGCCACATGGACACTCCTGGGATCAGCCAGGAGTACTTGGATCCTCTAAAATTCCTTGGAATCTTATGGAATTGTCTGGATCTTGGGATCTACTTAGAGATGTTACAAGGATCACAGCCTCTCAGGAGCAGGCTCTGTTAGGAGAAACCTCATCGTCTACAGAAAGGTTTATGTGGTCATGTCCCTTCTGTTGGAGTATTTCTGGATGTGGCTCTCTCAGGGTGTGTTGATGAGTGAGAGTCCTTGGGGTCTGCATATCTCTCTCCTAGAAGACCCTAGAGTCCTCCATAGGGAATTCTGCCAGACTTCCCCTCCATCTCCTTGCTCCTTGGTGTTGACCCATCCACCATTTGGACTGACTGAAGAGTCTGTTGAAACTTCTAGGCTTGAGGGTGGGGATGGGTTGAGACTCCCGACACAGCTTCCCCTCACCCTCCAGTTGACAGGGTGCCTGGGCCAGGTGGTGGAAGACAAGAAGTCCATCCAGCTGAAGGACCTCCCCTCCGTAAGTCATGGCCTGGCTGAACCCACTGCCCAGTCCCAGAGCCAGGGTCTCTGGGAAAGGGCAGCCTAGGAATGGGGGAGACAAGACCTGGGCACTTCCTATCATCCTATTGCCATGCCTTAGAGCTTTCAACCCTGTGGGAGTCCTTTAGACCGACCTGCTGCACAGTGTGGGGGAGGGTAGCACACACCCTCTCCCCTTCCCTGCCCTGACCTGCCTCCCCTTGCAGGAGGATGTACAACAGCTGCAAAGTATGTTGGGCTGTGAGCTGCGGGCCGTGCTCTGTGTCCCTGTCATCAGCCGGGCCACTGACCAGGTGGTGGCCTTGGCCTGCGCCTTCAATAAGCTCGAAGGAGACTTGTGAGTCTGGGTGGGATGATGTGGATCAGGAGGTATAACTGAGAGTGGAGCAGGGCTCCCGGGGGGAAGCAGCGTGGGAAGGTCCTAGGCAGGGCTGCTATCCCAGCAGAGGTGGGCTGAACAGTTTGTCAAGAGACTTCAAGTCATGCTGAAATCCAAGCCGGTCTCCCTCCTCTTCCCCCACTTGCTGCACTTTGGATTATCTGCTCTTAGCATACCGGCTTTCCCCCCACTTGCCACCCCCTGTTTCTGCATTACTGCAGGAAACTGCCAGATGGAGGGGTGGGTGCACTCTGGGATGGGCGTACTCTCTGGGGCACAGAGGACAATGGCTCAAGGGAACAGGCATGGGGCTGGGAATGCTGTGGGTCTTTCGAGCCTCTGACAGGAAAGCAGATACAAAACAGAGGACTGGGCAGGGCACAGTGTCCAGGTAGATGGACTTGGAGGCTTATTCAGGAAGCATATCTCCAGAACTGAGGTCACACTTGGGGTTTAGATATGGCGTCATAAGTAGATTTCCTGTCCTACACCCACTCATTAATTGGTAGGAGCCATTTGAGTCATTGTGTTGTGAATGGATCTTAGTTCAGTGAGAAACAGTGCTGTGTCTGATTTGTCAAGCCTGTCCTGGGTGCAGGTTCACACTTGGGCTGGCAGGTCTAGCAGTCTGACCTGAGTCATACAGGCAGGGAGAAGTAGGCAGGTGAGAGCTGAGTCCTGATGCAGAGAGATGCTGCCCCCTGGGGTCCAAGCAAGCAGGCTAGGTTTGAGCCCCGGAGCTCCTGCAGGAGGTGGTGCCGGAGAGTCTGGGACTGTAGAGGTGTCAGAACCCAGGACTGAGGCCTGTGGGGTGGGGCAGACACCCAGGAGTCCACGGTCTGAGCAGCAAGATGCGCCACCACTGAGCTCTGAAGACAGCTGCATGGGCCTGGGGAAATGAAGATGGTGTAGGTGAGGCAGCATCAGCTGAGGGAGGAGATGTGGGCTCTGCAGCATCTGGAACTGGTAGGCCTTTATGCCATTCAACAAACACACACTGAGCATCGTGTGTCCATCCCAGTGCTGGCCAGATGGCCCTGGGAAGGCCTTTGGGGGAAGGGTATGCAAAGTGAGTAGGGGTCCAGCAGGGCCATGTCCTCTTGCTGCTGGCTGTGGACTTGGTTCTTTAATGGCCCCAGGCCTGGAGGAGAGGTGATATCAGAAGGAAAACAAAATGGGGCCTTGGTGACAGGGCAGGGGTAGAGCCACCTCTGGTTCCCACACATTTCAGGGAGTGAGTGTTGAATGACTGCAAGAGCCAGAGTGGGGCTCAACTCAGCACAGGCACTGCAGAGAAGCTTCCCTGGTACACTGCTAAGTAGCCAGAGAACAGGAGCTCTAGCAGCCCTTCAGCTGCAAGTGGGATGGGGCTGGTGGCAAGGACAAGCCCCCGTTAAGACAGTAGCAAACACCTCCCAAATATCTCCCCTACATTGGGCATAGGGTGGTACAATCATGGCCCCTGCCTTCAAGACTTGAAGCCTATTTTGAGGACATGGGGGAGGAAGAGGGCAAGGGTATTCCTTGCTGAGGGAACAGTGTGGAAAAATGAATGTGTGAAAGAGCCCAAGGTTTTCTCAGAGTGATGAGGATCTTAGTGCGGCTGAAGCTTAGAGAGGCTCACAGTCGTGAGGGATCTCAAGCACCATGGTAAGGAAAATGGGCAGACAGACCCAGGGTGGTGGCGAGTGGGATCCTCCCTGGAATCACTGAATGGCAAACATGAGTGGGGGATACCCAGTGAGTAGCACCGAGGTCAACCAAAAAGTGGGGAGGGAAATTAGACCAGAGAGACGGGAGCTGAGATAGGCTCCCCCCATGACCTCCACCATTGGCCCACACAGCCCCATGCAGTTCCCGGGTGACAAGTCATTTGGTGGCCAGATGGAATGACCTCAGCAGGACTAGGAGCTGATCTTGTCAGACAAGAGCTAGCTCCATGAGCAGGGCCAGCACTGCCCCTCACACACCACCTTAGGATTTCTGGAGGTACCAAGTTAGGGCCAGCGGAGCACAGGAAAAGTAGGGTAGTGACAGGAATGGGGGGGGCAGTGCCGCTGCCCCTCCCTGGGACTGGAGGAGGCCATATGGAAGAGCAGAAGAACACCAGTACTAGCCTGGGCAAGTGTCTAGTCTGAAGGATGAGACCCAGCTTTGGCCTGGGTAAATCCCAGATAGGGCTCTGAGATAGGGTCCTGGTTTCAAGAGGCGATCGTTTAAGGAGGAAAACACCATTTTGGTCTGAGTAGAATCGGAGTCCTCTCTCCAGGGAGCCCCTGTCTTGGGGGTGGGGACAGGAAGCTGGGTAGTGGAGCTGCCCCATGGAGGAGAGTTATAGTTTGTGGGTGCATGTGCCCCTGGGCTTCTGTCAAAATGGAAGTAAGGAGTATGGGGAGAGAAGCCCGGCTTCTCTTCCATCTTTGATAAGCCCTCAGTCCCTCCTCCAGGTTCACGGACAAGGACGAGCATGTGATCCAGCACTGCTTCCACTACACCAGCACGGTGCTCACCAGCACGCTGGCCTTCCAGAAGGAGCAGAAGCTCAAGTGTGAGTGCCAGGTGAGTGACCTGCATTGAGCCTCTCTCAGGGACCAACTCGCCCAGCTCCCAGCCCCGGAGAGTCACTCACAAAGGAGATGGCCATGTCTTTTTGGGCGATGACCGCTCCGCTCAAGGCAGTCGGGCAACCTAGTGACTTGGAGGCCTCTTCAAAGGGAGGTCAGGACCCGCGCTCCTGGCTGCGGGCACTGTGTGTGATCTCCCTCTAGTGTTCAACATAGGCACTACAGCAACATCTGTGAGACCAGAGCCCGAGGTGCCTGCATGCTCTTTGAGGCATTAAGGAGATGACTACCAAGCTGCACTGGAGCTATTTCGCCTGCTCCTTCACGTAGTAGCCAAATGATAGAATTAGACGCTGTCAATTTCCAGCCTGTCTGGGGAGCCCTAGGGGAGACATAAAAAGCCCCTGAGGCTGTTGGAGGGAGGGGGCTGGGATGACTCCTGCAACTGGAACTCCCTATGATCTCCATTTCTGCCATTCCAGGCTCTTCTCCAAGTGGCAAAGAACCTCTTCACTCACCTGGGTGAGTGCACTATTATCTATGCCTGGCTGTGGGGTGGGCGTGGGGGCTGGCGCTTGGGGAGGAGGGGTGGGAGGGCTTGCCCTCAGCACTCCAACCTGGTCTCACCACTGCCCTGCGGTTTTCCTTCCCCAGATGATGTCTCTGTCCTGCTCCAGGAGATCATCACAGAGGCCAGAAACCTCAGCAATGCGGAGATGTGAGTGAATCTCCCAGGAAGTGGGGTGAGGGAAACTCCAGTCCTCATCACCTCCTTTCCTCTCCTTCTTTCCCCCCTCTCTTCTTGCAGACCTCATCACCTTCTGCGTGGTCCTTAGTTTCATGCCTGTCTCCTTCACTAGACGACAGGCTCTAATGCCAGCAGGGGCAGGGCTAGCTTTGCTTGCCATGGGTCCCCAGCTCTGAGCACTGTCCCACTGGAGCACTCCTCCTATGCTTCGGAAATCAGGCCTTTGCCTCAAGTCATGAGAAGTGGGTGGTCGAGAGGGTTGTCAGGACCCTGCAAAATTCGCCTCCCCCCAACCCCCACAGCTGCTCCGTGTTCCTGCTGGATCAGAACGAGCTGGTGGCCAAGGTGTTCGATGGAGGCGTGGTGGATGATGAGGTGAGGAACGGGGAGGGGTTGTGTG